AAATAGTATTTATTTAATGGAATGGAATGTAGAAAAAAGGCAAAAGGAAGCAAAGAAATGATGGAACAAATATAAAACAAATTGCAAGAGTTAAACCTAACTATATTTAATAATTATATAACATATAAATAGTTTAAATATCCCAATTAAACAGCAGGGATTGTCAGATCAAACAAACAAGCCCCATCCAACTATAGATGCTCCTCAACTGACTTTGGGATTACATCCAGATAAACTTACTGTAAGTTAAAAATATAAGCCGGGCCAGGCGCGGTGGCTCAAGCCTGTAATCCCAGCACTTTGGGAGGCCGAGATGGGCGAATCACGAGGGCAGGAGATCGAGACCATCCTGACTAACACGGTGAAACCCCATCTCTACTAAAAAATACAGAAAACTAGCTGGGCGTGGTGGCGGCACCTGTGGTCCCAGCTACTCAGGAGGCTGAGGCAGGAGAATGGCATGAACCCAGGAGGCGGAGCTTGCAGTGAGCTGAGATCCGGCCACTGCACTCCAGCCTGGACGACAGAAAAAAAAAAAAAAAAAAAAAGCCAAAATATGTTTAATATACCTGAGCCCCTGAACATCATGGCTTCGCCTAAGCCCACCTTAAATGTGCTCAGAACCCTTACATTAGCATACCGTTGGGCAAAATCTCATACAAAGTCTGCTTTATAATAAAGTGCAGGATAGCTCATGTAGCTTATTGAATATTGTACATTACATCAAAGTTGAGATGGTTTTGCACCATTGTGAAGTTGAAAAATTGTAAATTGAACCAAATTAAGTCAGGGAACATCTGCATTATGCTACTTACAAGACACACATTTAAAATATAAAGACAGAAGGCCAGGTGCAATGGCTGATGCCTGTAATCCCAGCAGTTTGGGAGGCCGAGGCTGGTGGATCACCTGAGATCAAGAGTTCAAGACCAGCCTGGCTAACATGGTGAAACCCTGTCTCTACTAAAAATACAAAATATTAGCTGGGCATGGTGGCGTGCACCTGGAATCCCAGCTACTTGGGAGGCTGAGGCAGGAGAATCGCTTGAACCCGGGAGATGGAGGTTGCAGTGAGACAAGATCACCCCATTGTACTCCAGCCTGGGTGATGAGTGAAACTCCATCTCAGAAAAAAATGTCTGTCTGTCTATCTATCTATGTGTCGATCGACACAAATAAGTTAAAAGTAAAGGAATGGCAAAAGACTCATCAGAACAAAGTGGCTATATTAATATCTGACAAAGTATACTGCAGAGCGAAGAATATTTCTAGGATTAAAGAATGTTTCATCATAATAAAGGGGTAAATTCATATAGTGAACATAAAAATTCCATTTATACAACCAATGACAGACCTTCAAAATATGTGAAATGTGATAGTACTGCAAGGAGGAATAGATAAATCCTTAATT